CACGAACCCAGACACGAACCCAAGAACCAAACACGAAACAGAACAGAGACACGAAGCGCACACTTTGCAGATTTTACTATCGCGATAATATCACCCTAAATCTACCAAAATTTAGTCGGTTTTAATACTGCGAGATTTCCTAAAGCTACCAAATGTTCGAGATTTTAGTTCCGGGACAGAGCACTCGCGACACTCCAGGATTGTAGTCACGCGAGACAACCATGCAAAAGACTTTCACGAAGAAACGCGGAAAAAAGACCAAGTTACAACGGGGCAGGGGTGCACACAGAGCACGGACGCAACCAACACGACACCATTGTAATCGATAATATAAACTAATGACAACATAATACATATATATATATATATCTTTTTCAATTGTAGTCCGAATAAACTGAAATCTTATAGCGAAAATATGGAACTTAATCTGAAGACAATATATCTGAATTTGTCTATATGGTCAAACATATTCTTATTGATCTAAGATATCTATGCGAGTACTAGTAAGAAGTCAGGGCCGTCGTAGACCACGAGAAACAATAGCGGCAAACAAAGCACTAATACCTGAATCCGCCAATACCTCACCGGTTTCGAGGAATCTATCCCTGAACCCTAAACCCCTAAACCGTATCCCACCCTAACCCCTAAACCTCGCCGGAAGAAAGCTTCCACGAGGAACAAACTACTACTACTACTACTACTACTACTACTACTACTACTACTACTACTACTACTACTACTACTACTACTACTACTACTACTACTACTACTGCGACTGCGACTGCGACTACGACTACGACTACGACTACGACTACGACTACGACTACGACTACTACTACTACTACTGCTACTACTACTACTACTACTACTGCTACTACTACTACTACTACTACTACTACTACCACTATCACTACGACCATCCTCTAATATTGGCTGCACAATTTTCCAGCTCATGCGCCCAACGGAGGGGTTCGGCCGAAGGGCCTCGCAGACGGCAAGGTTTTGAGGACCAAAGGCTCTGGCATTAAATCCTAAACCCTAAACCCTGAAACCCCCTAAACCACTCAAAAAAGATACCCCTCAGCCCAATTATATTATATTATGTGGCGAGGCTATGCAGCTAATACCATGCCGTTCCACGCTGTGCTTGTCGATGTTCTGCAATGCTACACTATGCTCTACGGTCTACCGCTCACCCCTATAAACCCTAAAACCCTAAACCTGAACCCTAAGCCTTTAAAGCTCCCAAAGGATAACCCAGCATCGAGGCTCCGACGATGCGGCTGCCTTCACCCTGCGCTGCCAGTCTTCAAACTGGGCCTCTGCTCTATCGGATTGGGGAGTTTCCAAAAAATGAGGGGTACCTTATTTTGGGGTCCTTCTAATAAGGATCCTACTATTTAGGGTATCATATTCGGGTCCTCTATTTTCGGAAACTCCCATGTAGGGCAAGGCTTAAGCTTCAGGAAGTGGGCTGCTGTTAGGGCTTAGGGTTTGGGGTACGGCAGAGAATATAGGAGTTCAGAGTTTCAGTTGGGGTTAGAGGATCTGAGCACTTCTTACAATGACTCTCATCCTTCTTGCTAGCCCGTGCTTCTTCCCATGACCGTTGCCCCTCCCGCTTGACCAGGTCTTGGATATCTAATCATATTGTGGCAACGCTGTGCAAGGGCAGGGCTACCCACATAGATGCCTCGCTAAACTCCCGACAGTAACTTAAATCGAAACTTCCCAAACATGAGCCTGAAACCCTGAACCCAGCCACCACTGAAGTGAGGTCGACGATAGTTGCAGAAGAGTCGGTACAATTAACATACGAGGGGGGCTGCCCACATCGGGGTCACGTCTTATTTAGGACCCCGTTTGGGGTTCTGTGCTTTCTGTTGTGTTCATAGGTTTGATAAGAGTGAGAGTCGCGGTTTGCGGGGTTCGGCGTACGGTATTTCCGCTGAGGATGTTCCGGCCTTTCAGGTCCCACATGCTGAAACTCTGCAAAATACCTTCCACTGGCACAGCCTTCGCATTCGTCCAGTCTCCAGTGCCTGAGGCAAAGAAAGTGCTTATGAATTTCAACCGCATTTTCCACTTCTGACGGCTGCTGTAGCATCTTTGGTGTCATTCCCAGGCATCTGCTAGTCCCTTCCCCTGAGCATGTGCTGTCCACTGCCCCGCAGGCCCTCAGGCTTGTACGCAGAGTTTGTTGCCAGTGTGAGAACTGCTCTGGCCTGACATTTCGGACTGTCTTGTGAGCACCAAGGCCAAAGGCAGCCACACCGACCCCCAAACAAGGTGGGCAGGCGTGAGAAGCGGGCCAAACGCCAGCCTTCCAAGCTCACTTTTCAGAGGCTCGCAGGTTCTCTCAGGCAATGACACGGCTAAGCGAAGAGCGGCTGCCAGTTCGGCGGAGGCTGTGGAGGTGCAGGCTGGCTGGCGGCACTCCCTGAGGGCTTCAAGGGACAAAACTCTCTCCCGCAAACCTTTCAGCTTGGTCACCATCAGTCAATGCCAGTGGCTGATCTCCACCTGCAGAGATTGCTCTCACAATGCGATACAGAAGAGTGTCTGAAATGCAACATAATGACACCGTCAGCCTGCAGCTATTTCTTCGGCGTGTTTGCGCGGTCGATTGACGCGGTCCTGCATTGGGTAGAGACCACAGATGCTCGGAACTCCAAAACTCTAAACTGGAAGAAGTTGTTGCGAGCTCCTTGAGTGCTGCCGTCATGGAGAAGCCGCTCTGAGGCTTTTGAGGCTCCTTCTGCGCTGCCAGCGCGGTGGCTTTGGATGCCTTGGTGACCTGGCAGATTCCGGAGCACAGGAGGAACATCACGGTTGCTCGTCGCCTGCTCCACTTGTCTTCGAATGTCCTCATTGGGGATGAGCTGATGAACGAGCACCTCTGCAGAACCAGGGTGAAGCAAGATGTAGGTGTGACACTCTCAAGCTCCTGGTGCAGAACACCCTGAAGCTTGAAGGTCTTGTGCTGGGCTGCTGGACAAAAACCGACCACCATGTTTCGCAACACGGTCGACTTCGCTGGCGACAGGAATTGCTCAAACTGCATTCCGGCCTCCTTACCGCAACCCGGACAGTTGCTGTTTTCTGTCGTCGAGTGCGCTAGTCGATCAATGGCACAGTCGCTGCCTCAGGCTTCAGTGCAACGAGGATCCTGCACTGCTCTGCACCATCCTACTCTCAAGGGATTACATCTAAAGGGTGTCGGATTGACGCATAACATTTCCGCGCCAAGGCTCAAAACGTCGCTCCGCAACAAGGGGCCAAGACGGCCTGCGCCCCGGCCCAAGGGAACTCAAAGGAACATTGAACGAAACAGCTGAGAAGTCATGAAAAAACACCCTCCTGCATAAGGTCAGATTATTCACAAAGCCTGAAACCATGAACCCTTACCTACTGAGGCCCCAAAAGTTGAATTCTTACAGTCCTGACTGTACCCTAAGGCCCCAAAGTAGTTCCTTTTTGGGGTTCATATTTAGACTCTTATGAGGTAGTCCCAGAAAGGAACTACTATGGGGCCTCTGGGTAGCTCAGATTGTCTCCTGACAATGCCCAGGCCTGCCGAAACATCTGATTGCACAGGGGGCACTTCAGCGACTCCTGCCGCATCAGGGCGTTTCCGAAAATCAGGGGTACCTTATTTTGGGGGTCCTTATGAAGTAAGAATCCTACTATTTAGGGTTCTATATTAGAGTCCCCTGTGTTCGGAAACTCCCATCAAATTCTGGTGCACATTCTGCAGTGCATGTTTGCGTAACATCATAGAACCATAGACGGTAGGAGAACATGCTAATTCGTAAACCCCTTAGCCGGAAAACAAATTGGACCGGTACTATCCCTCATCTCACTTCGAGGCAGTCTTGCCCAAGATTGGAATGACGAGTCGAATGTTGAGGATGAAGAGTTTGGCAGCTGATCCAGGGGGTTGCCCTCATGCTTGAAGTGGTGATCGTAAGAACAAACATAACTAACAACGAGAATAAGAAGTGATGCTAGCAATGCTAACAGTGTTTATAAGACGTCAGGTCACCAAGACCAACACTGAACATATGAAATGAGAACTTCGAATTCAGACTTCGCGTCTTCGAATGACGCAGGCATGTTGGCCTCCACCCGGCGGGCGCCTTGCGTGAACGCGATGGTGACCTCGCGCAGGACAAAGCGCTGACCGAGGTCCCACGGGGCATTGGTAATCTAGGGGCCTCGTTAATTAGAGTGTGGCTTTAGAGTGTGGCTTTTGGGGTAAAAAGTATACAGGCATGAGGGGATATATTGTGACTCCTCCATCGCACTGCAGCCCAGCCTTCTCTTGCACCGTGTCGCCCACGATCCGCTTCTTCTCTTCCGCCGAGGCTTCGTGGTCATAGATATAGTGGCCACTGTAACTTAGGGTTGTGCGGGCTTCTTGGTTTCGCAGCTTCGGTTGTTTGGATGGGGGTTTGGAGGTCTACCGTGTCACCAGATGGCGTGGTGTTGCGCTGTACTGGTAAAGATGCATATTACTTGGCCAGATTTGCCTACACCAAAGCCAAAGCACTGGCCCGTTCCTGCAAGTTCACCCAAGCTCGTCTCAGGCTCCTATATCAAATCCCTTATACTCAGAACTAGGAAAAACCACAAAATCCTAAACATCCGCACTCACTGAGGAGGGGGCCCAGGAACTACGAGTGTGACCCCTCCTGCACTTTTCTCCTCCGCTTCTTCGAGCGTCACCTGGCGCACGCATTTAGATTCTCTGGGTTGTGGGATCTAAGTGTACGGTGGGGTAAGGATTACCTGTTGCAACAGAAAGAGCACATGGGTGGGCCCGGTTCCTGACAAGAGCACACTTGTCAGGACTCAGCCAGCTGCCTGCGCTGACTACTCGTACAGATGTTGTTGACATGTTGACAACCTCTAGACAAGGATTCGTTCCGATGATGCTTCTTGCGAACCTCAGCAGGATCTTTCGACGGATACAGTGCGGAGGACTACTCACACTTCGGACAGACCAATTACCACCACAACAGAATCGAGCGTAGACCTTGATTGATATCCTCCCTGTCCCTATCGCTCTCAATCGCTCTGCAGCTTCCTCGGGCCTTTGCTTCCGAGGGGGTGGGGCCTTCCCCTTCACCCGTGGATTTCAATTACTGTCGTCTCAATCTCACTGGATCTCGTCCGTTGTCAATTGCCAAGATTACGCCTCATTGAGGATTTATTCGGCTTGCCATGGTTCTCTCATACTATCTTATGTTGTCATGCTATTTATATCATGTTCTTTTCGAGCTCCTCTGCTCCTGTTCGGCTCTCCCAGGCGGCCCAGATGCTCAGGCCCTAAACCTCTGTATGTGCAGAGGTTCCTGGGGAGCTTTTCTTAGCTTTGGTTAGTAGGGCCCTACTAACCAAAGGTAAGATTTTGCGTTCTGTAACCCGAGTTTCCCTTTAGTCGCACTACCTAGGCAGAGCTGGTGTCAGAAGCAGGGGGAAGTAGGTAGGGCTTCGGGTTTTCCGTCGCAAAGATGGAGTTGGGGAGCACAGGAAGCTCTCTTCTCACATCCATGCGTCCTCCCACCTTCCGAAGCCATTTCCGAGGAATGCCCTTGGCAGGTCGGACCTTAGTAGGAAATGGACCCTACGGGACAATAATATAGCAGCCTAAATAGTAGGATCCTTATGAGAAGGACCCAAAAATCAGGTTAGAAAGCCATACGCGCTCTAAACCCCAAACGACCTAATGTGGTCTTTCCGACTGATTAGACAGGATCTACTGGAAACTTCTGGAATGTCCTGGACTTGCGAGCTTCCACTGAGCGGTGCCATCTCGGCCTCTGACTTTCTTGACATGCTCGGGATCATCATTGGTTGGGCACTCCTTGGCAAACTTCGCGGCTGATTTTGTTGGGTTGCGCATCCAGCCGGCACTGCTGCCGAGTCGCCCATACCCAATGGGATCCAGTCAAGCCACACCTCGTTTGCAAGGAGGTGCAGCAGAAAGGCTGCACTTCCGAGTCACATGAGTGGCAGCAACAAACGAGGCCAATGACTGACCCTCGTAGCAACCTTCCTACGAAGCTTGTAAAATAATCGTGCTGCGCAATTCTTTCTACGGGGCATACACATAGATATCACCAAAACTGCCATCACCGCTGTCGCCACTGCTACGTGGTAGCTACTCCGAGCTCTCAAGCACTACATCCTTCTTGAAATAACGCAAACATGGATGGTAGCTCCGACACTACGTAGCACAGCCAGTATGACAGTATTAAGTGTGACCTATTCCATGATGCTTGCCAGCACCATCATGTTCACCAATATCGGCCACAAGCACTCATCAAATGCATGAGCAGAGGCCATCGTACGCAGGACACACAAACGACATATATACATACATATATGTATATCTATGTAGATATATATATATATATATATATATATATACGCACACATCTTTGTTTCTTTCATCTGCCATTTGTAATTTGCTGCCCGTTATATGCTTTGCGTAACATACAGCATATAGCGTATCATGACATCATAAGTATGTACATAAATCTGTGTATACATTTTATATAACACATACTTATTTGACATATAATAAGCATATTGCATAACATATGCATAACGTATCATGTGCAGCATATATACATATATACATATATACATACATATATATATATATATATATATATATATATATACACATACATACATACAATGTAGATACACACCTAGGCATCATCCGTGGGCCTGTGGCAAACGTAGCCTTCCGGCGGAGGCTCCGCTGGCTCTTCCTGCGATCCGATTTGGAATTGAAGGTTCAAGACTTCGTTCTTGAGTGTACACATGAACCGTGAAACCTAAACCAGTAAACCCTACACCCGGAAGGCTACGGCTCGAGGTTCAGGTGAAGCCAACCTCTTCCTCGTCCGAGCCATCATAGCCGAACTGCTTGCGATCACCTCCGATGCTTCTTGCACTTACATGTAAGGTTTGCCGTCGATCTACATGAACGTACATGAATATGTGCGTATGTGTATGTACATACGCATATCTGTGTGCAGACGTGCTGTGAAGCTGCCAACACGCCAGTCTGCTAAGGGCCCAGCTGCTTGCGGCTGCATTGTACGAGCGGTTGAAGCCTTCACGCCCCGTCAGAGTTAAGAGACTAAGTAATCGCCATTATCAGAACCAGCATCGGAGTAGGCTTAGCGGCTCACAGTGAACAGGGGCAAGATGCAGTTCTTGAGCTAAGGAGGCGACGATGAGAGGGAGCTCCGGAGGAGGCCAAGCCCAAGCCAGAGACATCGTGCCTCGAAGGCTGGTCTTTGGGAGTTTCCGATAATTAGGGTACCTTATTTTGGGATCCTTATAATTGGGATCCTACTATGGAGGGTACTATAGTAGGGTCCCTTATTTTCGGAAACTCCCGTTTCATGAGATGAAAAGGCCAGAAGAAGGCTGACGGTGAGTGCCCGGCTGTTGCACCACTCGATCCATTGCCAGGTCGTCATCATCGACACCCAGGCCCCCAACGTCATCGACAGCGAGGGAGCCTTTTGCGATATCGGTGACGTTAGGTTTTAGGGTTCCTATACAGGGTTGCAGTAAACGGTTTCAGTACCGGGTTCCTGTGGGGGTTACTATAAATGGCCCCTACAGTATGAGGGCTTCTACAAAGGGGGTCCTATAAGCGTTACGATGAGTCTGAGGGGTTCCTATTAAAAATCCTCGTCCGGTTGGCTTTCGAAGAGCTGGGAGACGGACCAGAGAGCTGTCCATCAGCTTTGGGTATGCGACGGACCAGCACCTTCGTCTGACGAGTGGCCGCTTAGGGTTTAGGGTTTAGGGTGAGTACTTTTCAGTCTGAACAGTCGTTACCCATTATTATAGGCCGTGTAGAACAAGCATATTAGACGATTACAGGACCAAGTCCAAAACTAAGGTCTATTCTGGCTCCTGTAGTACCCCCCAAAAGAACACTGAAGCAACCCTAAACCAAACCCCGGAAAATACCATAAACAAACCAAGGGACCTGTACCAGTCTGCCTTCCAGAAGTAGCGCCTTGCAAGCAGTCAGGGTTTCGGGCTTCAGGGCTTTAGGGGTTTCAGGCGTTATGCAAGCAGTCACTGCGGGAGATCCAGGCGAGAAGCATGCGAGGATCCTAGGGTTTCGGCTTTAGGCATCGATTGGGTTTAGGGTTTAGGGTTAGGGTTTAGGGTTTAGGGCCGTTTAGGGTTTAGGTGGGTGTAGAGTTTCGAGGTTTTGCGTTCAGGGCAGCTCGATGGCCTTCGGATCGAGCTTTGCTCCAGTGGCATTGTCATCCAGATCCAAATCCTTACAAACATGACGTTCAGAGGAGGTGGTGGAGGAGGAGGAGGAGGAGTTGTTCCCGCGAGTTCAGGAGGATCTGCAACAGAAAGGCCAGCGCCGAAATTCAAGCTAAATCATGTTGCCGGCCCGCTAGCAGCAACCCCCTTCCCAACATTCTGCTAGCAGCGCACAACGCTGCCCATTGTTTCGCTTGCCCCAAGGTTCTTACTCTTTGCCCGACGACGCTCTTAAAACACGGGCAGCAGAACGACACCTGGCATGGACGATGTTCTCCGGCTCTGGCATGACAGCTTGTCATGTTGGTGCCAACTTCCTGTTTCTTCGGGTTCGCTTGCCGCCTTGCGACATGACCATGGAAAGCTATCCAAAACATGATGCCCAAACGGCAGAGAGTGACAGAGAATGGCATCAAGATGACAGCAAAGCACCCGTGAAGAGCTACCCGTGTACGGATGTACACACACGTATGTGTGTACACGTAACTATACGTAACTATATAAATAGACACTAAATATGTATGTAAATACGCACGTCTTCGGTCACCCTGTTCCTATCCAGCGCACAGCCCATGCCAAGGGTCTCATCGAGCAGAGTGTCACAGAGCGTCAACAGAGCAAGAAAAGCAAACGGCTGCATACGGCTCACAGAAGCATTCTGGGATCTCGGCTGTGGTGGCATCGCTGATTCTTGCCTTTGAAGGTTTAGAGTTCCGGGTAGGCAGCTGCACACATGTGTATGATTCACGAACTGAATCCGTCACAAAGCAGCCTGACAAGAGGAGATGTTGCCCGCCTGCTCATAGATTGCACTCTTGACTCGCTGAAGCGTGCATGGCCTTGAAAAGACGGCTGCAATAAAGGTCCAGGGCTCTATCAGAGGCTTTATGGCTTTTGCCACGGCTTGCGTAGGGATGCCAAGGGCTCGTGGATATTGGTACAGGTTTCACGCTTCTGCAAGTGTGCTGGAATTTTGGTGCTGCTACAAGCAAAATCGATCCTTAACCCTTTGCGATTTCTTGCCGCTCACAGAATACAAGCTCATGGCTTGCTGTTGCTACTAATTGCCAACGTCTTGCCCTGATGATTCACGACGATGGCTACAGCTCTGCTTCCTGCCATCTCCGCTCCTGCGACGAGTATCATGACCATCGTCTTCGTTTGCAAGATCATCGCCAGGTTCATCACTACTGTGGTTTTCACTGCGAGTGCCACCTGGGTGACGCAGAGGCAGCGGGGGGGGATAACAGGCAATGGCAGGGCACTTGCCCCACTTGCTCCATTTGGAGGTCTTGACGGAAGGGAAGTGGTCCGAGCAGAGCAACTAGCGGATCTCCTTTAATTCAATTGTCCGCAGACAGCTGGGGCATAGAGAAAAAGAGTGAATCAGTGCTGAGTCCGCCGCGTCGTGAGATTTAACAGGCTCCGGAAGGCCTGAAGGGAGGGGAGGAATACGGCCTTTGCACAAGCATCGCACGAACCTGAAGCCCAAAATCCAAACCCCCTTCGGGGCAGCCAAAAAGAGGACGGAGAAGCAGAGAGGTTTGGGGTCTAAAGCCGTGTCGTGGCCTTCTCGCCGCGGAACTTGTACTGAACTGGCATTGCTGCGATGCACTCGTTGTTGCATTATGTCGATGCTTGGGTCAGCACTCTCTCTCGCTCTCTCTATCACTCACTCTCTCTCTCTCTCTCTCTCTCTCTCTCTCTCTCTCTATATATATATATACACATATATAAATATACACACACAAAACCGATACAGTATAATCTAGTAATATGCCATATTATGTTGAGTTATATTCAACCTTACATATATATACATACACAAGGGGTTTGGGATTTGGGGTTTAGGGTGTAGGGTTTGGAGTTTGGTGGCGAGGATTGGCATGATTCATCGCCATGATTAGGGGCTTTGAGCAGCTGCATGGCTCATGGCTCATCCCACAATCGTGAACCAAAGAACCTGAACACGCTGCAAGGTAAGATGTGCTGAAACTAGGCTTTGCACTCACTGATGTCCGAAGATTTGTGGCAGCAGAGGCATCTGGATGAATTGATGCTTTTCACAAATGCAGCAATGACAGCAAAATCCCATCTTGGTACTTTGTCCACTAAACTGACTCCACATCATGCATGTGCTGCGTAGTTCTACTAATCCTTATGAACTGTTATTCTCCTGCGTTAAAACGACCACACTGCCGCCGACGACGATGCCGGCGCAACACCGCTGGTACCATCATGGTTTTCCATCAGCTCCCAGATCTAAAGGAAGACACCGGCAGACACACGGAAGCCAGAACGCAGCCTGTATTCACCAGGCACTCAGTCTCGGTCTATTGCTACAAGTCGCGTCGTTGCCTCCACTCCCTCGCGATCAATAACACGAAATGACTGGGAAAACCGTGTCGGACCATCGGCGAAATCTAAGATTTAATGCATCTTCAGTTCATGTGTGAGTACTGACAAGGCTCTGGCGACTCCACACCGGATCCGCCAAGTGCCCTTTTTGCTTCCCGCCACGCGCGAGCGGGAATCAAGCTGCTAGGTGGACTTGCGCCAACACAAGGCCACCTGTCTCGAACTGGAGCTGTTTGCCCCACAGCTTGCTACAGCAGTTCCCCGAATCATCCATCGCAGCCGCACTGTTATCAGCTATTCAGCTGGTCCAAACACCACTGTATTTTCAGCGGGTCCGAGCTGCATTGTTGGCACATGAACCTCAGCTGCAAAGCCCCATGTTCAGGATCTCAGTTATATCGAGCAGTCATGCCACTCTTCGAGAACTCCACTGCGCTGAGCTCTCTGCAACAGCTGCGCAAATTGGGATCGCTCCGGACAGCCCTCCCAAGTGTCAAATATGTCGAAAAAGGGGCAAAGAAATGGCTCGCATGCTGATCAAGCTTTTTCGCTGTCCGGCCTGAAGCGTGCCACATTGCTGCGGCAACGGACTGAGCAGGGATCACAAGGATTCTTCAAAGATAGTTCAGAGCGCATCCTCCCGGGTGTCGGGCGTTTGACAGTAGTTGCAATGCACCGTGGATCCCGGCGCGGAGTACCTTGAGGTGACACGCGGACTATGGGCAAGTCGTGGGGCGCGTCTGTGAAGTTCAGCTTTGAGTTGCTTGCTTAATGCTCGATTTTCCCTCCGGCCTTCTACGATTCAATGTGCCCTGTATGTCCTTTGATGCTTTATGGACTGTGCCCGGGAGAGTTCCTTCAGAATGCTCTGCCTCCTTCCTGACTTGACAGAAATTTTAAGTGTTCTACTAAGTCACTAAGCTACTTGAGAACCGATTCAGTTACGTTACTCTCGGCGACACAGCATGCTGAGGCTGGTACCACAGGTCGAGGCCCCCCTTCTTCCACGATTCGATCGTGTGCTGCGGCAAGGTGCCAAATTTCCAGGAATAGACACGAAAAGCATTGTGGACACAGCGTCAACGTCAGTCAATGTGCAACCATCTCTGCGAATCCAGCCCTTGTGAAGGCTAGCCCACTTTGAGCAAAGGTCTGCAGTTAGTGTGTCCCCCTGCAACGAAATGGCTGCCTGAAAGGTTTCCACCGGCTTGTCCCGCTCTTGGGAGGTTTGGAAAGACATGTTTCCTTGGTGATTCGAAACAGGCGAAAGGCAAGGTCTTGGCTCGATTGCTCTGAACTCTCGAACTTGGAGCGGCGCGCTTGTTCTGCACGCCCGAGCCGCTCTTTCTGAGCACCTCTGCAGGTAAGAGACATGTCAGGCGCCAAGACGACTCTTGGCGGGTTCTCTTCTTCGTGACAATTGCTTGAATTTAAGGAGCTTGATAGCATGGATGCGTCGTGTTGGCACGTCCTTGGATCCCTTTGCTAGGTCGTCGTGACCTAGGACATAGATGCCTAGTTCAAGCGCGGCTTTAAAACAACGGATAGAAAAACAACGGCAGGAGGTGGAAACCCCTAAACCTCATATACTACCTCATTGGCCTTGCCCTCCAATGCGAAATCCCCCGCTGATACCAATTATCATATTTATAAGCATAACAACAAGAATACTAGTTTAATGCTAAAGCTACTGTCTCCTTCCTTCCAGTTCCTTAGTATACTTATGGTGAAGCCCCCAAACTCTGTTCTAACTTTTCAGGCCGCTGCAGATGTAAGAAGCCTGTGGATGCGGTGCCTGGCGCGAAGTCAGGGCATGTCAGTGAGGAAACACGGGGAGCGTTTGCAAAGTTCGTGGATTCGGGCTCTTAGAGTCAAGGGCATCTCTTACGCTTTGGGGTTAGGGCCAGTCTTTTGGGGATGCGGAATAAACTTGCAATCTCCTGGGGTGTAGTCGCTCTCTATACGCGTTTAGGGTTAAGTGCGGTCTCTCCGGGTTTAGGGTTCGGTAGTCTCGTCGAGCTTCCACAAGTTTTGTTGACGGTTTCGGGGCTTCCAAATTTAGGAGCAGGGGCTGAGAATACAATTGAGTTGGGCTTCCTCGTGTCTGGAATCCTCATGTTTGGGTGGCTGCCTGCAGCGGTCGCGACTCCCCAAACCCTAGAGGCTAAACCCTTGATTCTACACCCTAAACCCTCGATTCGAAGCCAAGTGCGAAAAAGCAAAGGAAGGGCGCCAGGTGCACGGCATCTGAGCGTTGGGATCTCGGCCCGTCGCGGCGTCCTCCGAAGTCGGCTCTTATTCGCAGACGTGGAGAGGGTCTACTTGGGATTATGGAGTCTGGGGTTTAAGGGTTTAGGGTTGAGGGCCTAAGGCACTGAGGGTCATTCGTTTTTTTGCGGAGTTCAGAGTTTACACTAAAGCATTTCTGCTTTCAAGCCGAGGCCTTGTCCATCGGAGGCGTCTTGGGCTGAGCTCTATCTGCAGCTTGACCCGCTTGGCCTTGCCGAGGTTGGTACCTGACCAAGGTCTTTGGTCCCTTGGGGCCTAACTTGGGGCCCCACCGATGAGGACAGGGTTTTGCTGTTCCTGCACATAGAAGTACTGCGGTATCTTACTACGAATGGCTCCAAACCTCGGTAATACTGAATTCTGCATCACACGTCAAATATGCAGCCTGGAACGTTTGTGATTCCGGAGATTAACACCTGAACCATCGTCCTAGCTCTATTGAGATCTGCACCCTGTGAAGCTTTCGCCCGAAAGCATAAAACGTGCCGACCTTCTCCTTTCGCCGGACTCACACTTAGAACAGCAAGCTTCCGTCAGATACCAATGCACGTCATGTCTGGGAGTTTCGGAGGGCTCTAACTCATATGAGCAGTGCTAGAGGTCCTACCGACATCTTCTGTATTGACTTAGACTGTCCTATACTATATTGCGGGGAGGTTCCGATGGTTCAAGCGCGAGTGCCGGTCGGGCTGAGGCTATGCTCCATTGAAAGCTTTTGCCTGTTCCCCACGACGCACTTCGAAGGAACTATTCCCCTGACTTCCTGACCTTTGGACCTAAACATGTTGGCCACACCCTCAAACCCCAAAGTCCCGGCTTCCTGTCCTAAGCTCCTTCCCAGCTGCAGGGGCACGGCTCGATCGGGGCTAAGGTGAGGTTGAGGTTCCTGCCGCTGTGTTTCATGGTGTCTTGGGATTCTTCTTGCTGCGGTGGTTTGAATGTGTTGGCTGCCTTGCTCAACTCAAGAGCTGCCCATGTTACTCTTAATAAGGGGGGGGGTTTCCGAAAACAGGTGACCTAATATAGTACCCTAAATAGTAGGATCCTTATTATAGGGACCCCTAAATAAGGTACCCCTAGTTTCGGAAACTCCCATTTAGGTCTTCGGGTTCAGGCTGTGCTTCGTGGAAGAACCCTTCAACTGAAGCCGCTTCAGTCAATGACATGTCGTTGTGTCATGCTCGTCACCATTGATCACCTTCATCACCCTGCCATCGTCAGACGCTTCGCCTGTTTCATATGAAGCTTGTCTTGCTACCGGTCTTCATGACAAACTGGCGTCCATGACAACATCCTCAACATCTTGCTTACAATCATCTCAACCTGGGTCCTATGACCTTTACCTGACCTTGAGTGGCATGTTCTTCTTCACCATCGGAAGACTCTGCACTTAGTCGACGTCTTAGTTACTAGTTGGTGACCCTGCCTCTTGCACCAATCTCTCAGCAGGTCTACGTTGCGATTGTCCAGCTCGGGGTGCTGAGCGTCGCAAGCCGAAAGATCAGTTCTGTGATCCACAAGCAAGACACTGGCGACAAACCACGTGTATGCAGTGTCATGAGCTTCGAAACCATGCCGATGCAACCGCAGATGGCTGTCAGATTCGTCTTTGCTGCAACCATGCTGAGATGGCAACGTTCCCCATGCCTTTCTGCACTCTGGCCCTGGCATGTTAAAGCTTTGAAGCGTGGGGGCATTCACATCCTGAAGCTAAACCTTTATGTCACGCACATGTCGTGTACTTAGCATCTTCGCACACTGAGACGAAACGAGACGGATGCCATGATTGCTTAAATCGTCTCCTGTGCTTTTCACCAGCACCTTTGAGCCACACACGTTTAGAAGCACGATGTAACTGATCCGGTCTCACACCTTGATAATGGCAACGCATCAGGCGGGCATGACATAAGCTCTTGTGCGCTACAAGCCCCGTGGGTTTATGGGCGATATCAATGCACAACCCAGTTTCCCAAGTCTGGCTGCGCGTCAGTTTCCCGCCGGAACAAGGCCCTTGCAATGGTTCGACAATGCACACTCATGTGTAAATCAATTGATGAACAAACCTTGCCGGGGATTGTCAAAGCAAAGCAAACTGTTTGTCCATCGTCGGAATGTCAAGTTTTCTTGCAAGCTGTGGAATTCAGCGAAGGGCGGCGATCATAAATGCCAACAGCATTGTACGAAGGTTGCTTTGATGATCTTTGATGCAGGACGCGACAATCATATACGACGGTTGTAACATCATGCGCACGCTGATGACAAGCACAGATCAGTTTTCTAGGAGAAGCTGGAACAAATCGAATCTCGACGTGATCACGAGAAAGAAGATTTTAGCAGGGTTTCGGCAAGGGACTCGAGCCAACTGCCTCGGCTTTCCGGCCATGCAAAAGCTCACTTCATGCGTCCGAAAGTACTGTAGCAGGTCTCACATCTACACGGGAGAGCGGGAACACCCCTCCGTTGGAGACGCCACAACACTTAAGTAGATGCAACCGGGTGGAACCGTCCATGTTGAGTACGTACCGAATGTGATACGATGCCGGGAGGATTTTGCGCTTGTTCCGACGCCGGGAAGTAAAACTTCTGCTGACGAATTTCGACAAGGAAAAAATGTGCCTGGTTCAACAAACATCTTGGTCCAAATCAGGATGCTGTTGGCTCGTTTCATAACACTGTTCGATGCTTCCCTGGCCCAACAATCCAACAAAGCATGCTAAGCGTAATCAATGGAACTTTCATGTTTTGTCACATCCCGGCCATGGTGACAGCCGTTCAATTGGCCATAAGGCATCGCGGCATCTCTCCAACACGAAGGTCTTCCCTACTTTGACAATTTTTGCCAGCATTGCGTCGACTTCGGGAACGTGTGTTGTTGGAGTTTCTACGTGGAGGTAAGTGCATTTGATGGTGGAACAACGGTGGACCCGGATGGCCGAGAAACATCATTGCTATTTTGCGATTGAAAAACTAATGCACAAGTTGCTCTACCCAAACCAACGATAATGCGGTGCGAATGAACATGGCTGACAGGGAGATGAGTGGCTGAGGGAATTTGTGCAGGTTCCGATGTCCGCCTGCGAGCAACAGCGCGGTGGTCGGTTGCATAGGTGCGGAAAGCCGAAACCTTCCCTCTTGACCCAGCATCTAGCATTTCGGGCTACCCGCTTTGAACCATTTGGAACCGAAACAACGAAACTCGCCATTGCATACGGCATGACATGGACCAGACGGGCTTTGGCTCGAGTCCAACCTGATCATTGAAACTCGCAAAAGCCCTACTGCTTCTGTCAGGAAGGTTGTCGCAAGAGTCTTGCAGAGGGCCTCTTGCAGGCGCATCTGGTTTGATGCTAGGACAAGCAGTGCACAGCGTTGTTGCGTTGATTGTCTGTGAGGCCGGATTCTCGCAACGGTTTTGTTGTTACGTTAACATGGAAATTGCTGGGCTTCTGGCTTCTATGTAATCCTGACGGATTCGGCCTGAAAATCCCCACCCTCGCGCGTGGCAACTTCACTGTGGGGTGGGCACCCCAGCTATGGTGCGAACATAAAAAGAAGATGTGAACGCTGTGCCGGCACGACCGGGAGGCGGGAGCCAAAACAAACACACACACACACATACATATATATGGTCACCCCCCCCCCGTTGACAGACCATCCCCTTCAAAACATCGCTCCCACCGGTGTGTTCGTGCTTTTTCCGGGGTATCGAGTTTGAGCCCTCCGAACGTATCTGTGGAACCACCAAAAGACTCGTTGACAGACCATGCCCTTTCAACTCAGTCGTAGTGCATGGTCTGTGATCGGGGGAGGGGGTACTCAGCTTTCAAAAACTCAATTCCAAAATTTCCAAAATTTCCAAAATTCTCTCCCTTAACTTTCCGGATTTCCAAAATTTCCAAAATTTCCAAAATTTCCAAAATTTCCAAAATTTCCGAAATTTCCAAAATTTCCAAAATTTCCAAAATTTCCAAAATTTCCAAAACGGCCCGACCTAGTGGACAGGATTTTTCCAAAACATAAGGGCGGACTTTTTGGAAATTTTGGAAATTTTGGAAATTTCGGAAATTTTGGGAAATTTTGGAAATTTTGGAAATTTTGGAAATTTTGGAAATTTTGGAAATTTTGGAAATTTCGGAAATTTTGGAAGTTTTGGAACTTTTGGAAATTTTGGAATCTCTGGACCTTGGAATTGATTCTCAGGAGGGCTGATTGTGACCCATCCGATGACAGACCATGCACGACTTACTTGCAAAGGCAAGGGCTGTCAATACTCATGCCCATATTTAAACGAATATCTCTCAATCTACCTGTCTATCTGTATATACATATATGTATTGATACTCCTACATATAGTATTGCCATTGGAAATACTGACAGTGATCATTTGTTGAATGCTCAAGCTAATACCAGCATTACTACTAATATTACACTTCTATAAAGCTTAGTACGAATATGCATAACACAAATACTAAGATTGATTAGTATTGCTCTTATTACTCCTACGCATATCAATAACCATATTCATATTGATAATAATGTATATTAATACCAATACTAACACACACCTGTATGTACTAATGTACATAAACATGCATACCACCATATTAAAATACAAATCCTTTAACTCACTCATGTATTCAACTGTTAGAATTTCACGTGATCAAGAGTAATAATACTACAAACATTCTTTCGAATGTATATCATCAATAATATTATAGTACTAACGCTAACACTACTGCTAATACTTAACACAAAATTTATACTAACATCAATATTTACATAGCTATTGATACTCCTACGAATACGAATACGTAAACTCTTGTGCGTTAACAGTAGTGCTATCACCAACACTAATACGGACTTTGATAATCTGCTGAATATTCAAGAATGCCACTAGTATTACCAGCATGAACACCCATATTATGGCTATTACGAGTATAAATAGTCCTATTTCTAATAATATTGACATTAATACTGCTACGAATACCAATAGTATATTCATATTGATATGAAAACTAATATCATTACTAATGGACACCTGCTTATACTAATGTACATAAAATACAGCTAACACTACTGCTAATACTTCACACAAAATTTATACTAACATCAATATTTACATAGCTATTGATACTCCTACGAATACGAGTACGTAAACTCTTG